GTTTGTTTGTAATTGAGATTTCTTAATAAACTCATCAAGTTGCTTATTGTTGCTCGTCCATCCATCGGATAATTCTTTATGACCGCAAATGCACCACACAGAACTACATCGGAATATTCCACATGCAGAGCAGAATCCATATCGAGAGTAACAATGGTAAAAGCGTTCATCAGCAACCATGTAATACTTGTCATTACATTTGGTAAACCCCATTATTAGTCTGTTGCGATGATCGAGCCATTCCTTATATCGTCCAAACTGACTGTCATCATTATTGTACCTGTGTGTTGGAAGTGAGTATATTCTGGCAAACTCACTCGCAAATGTTTGCGTACATTCTTCACTACTTCCAAGGAATACCAGTATTATTTCGACGCCATAACGACTAGCATAAAGGACAGTGGAAATTTGAGTTGGCTTTATGTAGGTGATTTCCTCGTAAGGAATCCATTCATGTTCATGTTCACTTTCACTTTCCAAGGAGGATTGAACCAAGTTGTCAATTGCTGGATTCTTAGCCCCTGGAACTAATGACATCGTTTGAATACGAAGTTTTCAAGTACAATCACCGAGACGTTAATATTAATATTAACACTAATATTCCGATATCCGTGTGTAACGCTTAACAGTGCCTCCACCTACCATATTTAGGAGTAGATAATTTCCAAATTTGGCAATGGATTGAGGAGGTAATTTACCTCACCGAGTGCTAAACTATCAAATTCAGTAACTCAAAACGTTACCAAATCTGGTAGGGGAGGTACTGACATAATTACAATAGCGAAATCGTACCCGACTCTACGATATCTCATAACTGAATGAATTGTGAAACAACTAACTAGTATTTGCTCAAATTTTCGGACTACCAAACATTATTTGATAGTCTTGGCATATATAGTTGGCACACTTGTGTATGGCAATTTTATTTCCGTTGTTGATGCCGTTAAACTTGCATTGTTACGGACTATTAGCAATATCAGTAACGATGCTCATTTTTCTTATAAATTGGTAAGAAGCTTGATAAGCTAGCATCAAAGTCTTTGCGAGATAATATAGAAGACGTGTGAATGCCTGAAGAAAAACCTACGCCTCGCAAAATCTCCTCCAACGCAATAACTTTTGGCAATAATGAATCACAAGAAGCTTTTTCCCGCGAATCATTCTCAATTATGAGTCTATGTTTGTTATGCAAGTTATCCAAGGAATCCATAGCCTGAACCAATCCATTATAGGCATTGCGCATTTCTTTTTTAGAATATATTTCTACAAAATCTACAGTTATATCTTCTGGGGTCCTTATAAAATGACGCAAGATTATATTTCTGCATCTGAAAAAAAAAAATAGTTATTTGGCCAAGTAATGATGAGTTTGCATTTGCATCGTCATTTTGAATGATGACGAGTTCACATTTGCGTCGTCATTTCGTATCCAAATGGAAAAACTTTCTTCCAGTAAAAAATAATTAATTCAGACTTATATATTCTGTTATTCCTATTTTTCTGATATTTGCTTCGCAAAGCGACTCACGTTGCCTCTGCTGTCCTAGAAAAATTTTTTCTTTTATATATCGCTCTGATTTTTTTCTGGTGAGTGAATGGCTCCGCCCGTTGTTGGGAATTTTATCATAGGGGAATTCCAATAGTAACTGTGAAAGATAAAGTATGGCATTTCTAAAGATATAATTAGAATTTTGATACGTAGAATCAAATCCAGAATTCGCGTAAATTATAACCATACGGCTCACAGAATCGCTCTCCAAGAACTAATATATATTTTTATATTTGCATTATATTACAAATAAAGTCTGGTGAAAAAGTAGACGTTACTTTATTTAACTGTCTGCCAGATGCCCGGGATTGTGGTTTCGAGATCGCGACATCACGGGATGTAGCATAGTAAACATAAATACGTCTCCCGCGTTCGTTCGATACATGTTCCATGCTCTATGCTCCAGAAATATTGGATAGACAACTTTTTTTGTTAAATTTCTAGAGAACTCATATTATTTATTGTAAACGATATCCTTTCGTAATATTATTTGCAATAATTTGTAATGTGACTTGATACGAAAATAATATTTGATCTCTATAACTAGTGAGTCCAACGGAAAATTAACCAACAGACAAATTATACCCCATAGCCCATCACATGCAAGATAATAATAAGTTGCATAATAGAATTAACATTTTAGCAAGAGCGAAAATGGATCACTTTGTTATAGTAAATTGTCCAGCAGGCTATAAACCGCTCCATCACATTGTTACAAAACCCCTTCTTATGCATCTTCCCGTAAAAGTGATTCGCGAATTTTGGTTAATGCTGTCAATACCGCTCGTCTTCCGTCCGGTTCAGAAAGATCAAAACCAGTCACTAAACCATTGTCAGGCGGCCATCTTTGAATCTCAATTGACCGTTCTTGTGGCAGACCGTCATCAAGTTCTGTCCAATATGTTGCAGGAATCTCAGCCTTATAAAAGGTAATGTATGTAGAGATTGTGCGAATAGCCCAGAGTGTTTGATCAACATATAGCTTCTTTTTCAAGGGAACGCATATTCTCACTACCGCAAGCAAGAATCTTTATAGCAATCTGGGTTTCCCCAAATTTTGTGCTTTGCCCGACATTTCTGACATTTCTTAAATGTTTGTCCTATTCGGGGGAAAAAAATATTAATATTGGCTGATGTATATGTAAACAAGAACTTGAGAAAGAAACACATACTTCTACAACAATAAGCCCAAAATTCCGCTTCTTCACAACAAATGCGGGTTTTGATGATACATGTGGTTCATTATCGATGTATAGTTCGCACGGTGGGTGAATTCTGGATCGAGAGAATGCAGACTTTAGAAACTATTACGTTTATTCTGACAGATTAAAACGAAATTGGATTAAAATAAAAATTTCTCTATTTTAATATGAAAATTTAAAATTTTTTGGGGCAATTTTCTGGGCTTTTTTTGGGATTTGGGATGGGATTTAGGGTAACTTTTGTTAATAGAATAGTATATGTGGGTTTCGGAGGCATTAAAAGAGGATCCAAAAAGACCCCCAAATTTCGGTTTAATCCGATTTCGTTTTAATCTGCCACATTTATTATATACCGAATTACTCACTTGATTCTTAGGGGCCACTCGTCCATGTTAGTGATGCGGAGCAGATCATCTACGAGCGTATCAATATAAGTTTCGGTTGTGCCTTCTGTCTCAATACTATTCTGTACAACATCATGCAAGTTTGCAACAAAGGTTTGAACTTTCTTGTCTGTAAGTCCTTGAATCTTTTCGACATCGAACTTCCGTTTTTCAAGCATTTCACCATTAATATAATCCAGAACATATTTTTCTGGGAAGTTGGTAACTAAACAAAATTTAAATGGTACATAGTAGATCCACTGAAAGGCTTGCTGATACAAGGTAAAGCGTACCTTCAACATCGTTGGGTATAACATCACTCTCAGCGGAAGCTCCAAAGAAAGTTACATTCAGAGCCTCTATATCTCGTCGTTTAAACTTTGATGCTGTGGGAGGAAGATTGACGGCAGAAGATGCTTTCCGTTTTTTCAAAAAAAAATTTTCACGATAGCTGCGTTGATGGCTGGTCAATGATCGTATGACATGTACTTTTTTGGGGGAAAAAAACGAACGAACGAGTACTATTTTCACCGTTCTTCTGGAGATTCCCGATTAAAAAGTGTAATTTCGGCCAGCGGGTAAAGCATGCTAAGTAAAATATTTCCTGTGGTACCACAGGCTGATAGAATATATAAACTTCGAAAATCGGTAACATTGTTAACGATCAGACGTCGGACTCCTGATTTTATTGCCGAGCAATGAGAAAAAAGAAAATAAATATATTTTGTTTATTTAGCCTATCTAGCCATACTGCCTATTTTTTCGAGTTTGCGTTTGCGTCGTTCAAGTAATAGAAAATAAAATAAAACAAATAGAACGAATTTACTGGCTCACTTCGTGAATAAGGAAATTTTCTTCATACCCAAATGTAGAACTTTTTCTGGTAAAGAATAATTAATTCACGATTCCATAATTTATTGTTCCCACGATTCGTATGCCCAAAATTTGATTTGCATAATTCCTTGTGTGTACTCACCTGACAAAAGTGTTTGCCACAACAAATTTATCGCAATCGAAATTTGCGTGGCGACTAGTATATGGATATTCTGCCACGACTATGAGGTAATAGTTATGACGATCCATGAGTCAAAGTTCTGCCACAGTCAACATTAATACTACAGTACTATCGCTATTACTATGGTAACTTGATGTGATGATCAAATTACGCTGTGGCGTAACAAAAATCTGCCACAGTTACTAGTAATGGAACCTTTTATAAAATATATGTACAGTTAACACTGTTTATACCGAACTGCCCGGCTGAAGAGTTTTCGTTCGTTATAACCCGAGCTCTCTATTACCAGAGATTCGTTATATCCAGAGTTATTAATTATAAAAAATCGGTTCTGGCAATTTTGGTTCGTTATATCCAGAGTTCGGTATAAACAGGTTCGGCATAAACAGTGTCAACTGTAATATGCGACCAGTTTCCAAATATGTACGTAAAGGAGAAAGATAACGCACTCCACTACTGGCAGATTTTCTAAACCAATAACTGCCGCTCAGAAAAACGCTAACGGTCCAATCCACAGGGATTTTAATGAGCTCTGGCTATAGAACAAACCAATTTTTAACCCCATAATCGGAAAGTCTTTTCAAATGAATCATGAGCTTCTCATGATTAACGTATGTCAGACTTTATTTGCAAACATGGGTATTATTTGACAAGTTCTTTCTGTATGTATTACGACTAAACTCGAATGTCACATATTATCCTGCCATTATGTGATCTACTTCTATATTACAAACTGCTTTAAAAAGGTCGAATGAAAGAAGGAAAACGTACCAGAAGGCATCATGTTCTGACCCCATAAACAGATGTCGCCTGTTATTTAATAAAAATCAAATTGATTTACCATATCATAATCACGTAAATCGACGTAGAACTACTCGTTGTATGTCATATAAGTCAATTACAAAGTTGTTCCCAACAACTATATCTGGTACCACTACAGCATAATCGTCGGTTTTCGGAACACCATGAACAATTGGAGGGTCCCAAAATACATTTGAGACAGGAATGGTTACTTTGAACGCATCTAGATCCGGAGCATTGCAGTTGGTAAGAGTAGACGAATTATTGCGTATCGTTCCGCATTCCCACTATTATTTTGCAAAATTAGTCTGACTTGATATCTAATTATAAAAATATGACAGTATGAGTAGATCAATCTTACCTCTTTAACGTAAACGCCTTTTTCCACCAAACTTGTGTTTGAAGATAACACACTACCTGGGATTTCTCGACGCACCCACAACCTTGCCTAATGCAAAATAAAAATACTCTTAGTCGAAACTAACCGAATAATAAACACATAAACATAAAAGACATACAATTATTGCTCGATGAACAGTTGTTTGTAAGGTTTTTTCAGGATAAAGTTTAACACCAAACACGCAGCGAACATATTCCTCGTGCATCCATGCTTCACATTTGGTATTCCATGAACCGGTGGTTTGAGTATCAGCCACTTCGCAGATGATTCTTGCATGAGGTAACCCCTGTGTAACGTGGTTTGTTAGAAAACGGCTTAAAATGATAATGTCATAATTAAATATTACAACGCACAACATAGTCACTGCGAGGAAATCCAGGATGTGGACGTGTTGGCTGAACAAGATTATCAATTGGACAAACTGCAAGGTCTGGCGCTATTTTTTCTCCTTGGCCAACTGGGTTATGGTGGACTATTGGAAGAGAATTTGAATTGCTATTACAAAAAAACATGTAACTTATTGATAGTTTCTTACATGGTTGATGAGAAACCTCTAGCGGACCGACTATCGCACCGTTATTAGGCCTATCAAAGCATCTGGAAAGCACAGTTGTAACACTTTCATGTCGCCGGTTTGCCATCTCAATTATGTATACTTTTTTATTATTCCAATAAAACTTATATCCGGATGATTCGTTGCGATCGAGGAAGGTATTATAATCTTTCACCGTAATATTTTCCCCGATCTGGAAGGGTAAACTGAAAACAATATACAAGTCAACAACGAATAAACTCTCAAAGAAAAACCGTGAGTCTGCTTACTCTTCTTCAGTCAGAAATTTTGGTATCTCGGGATATTGATGGAGTAAATTCCCCCAAACTTTGTTCATTTTTTCTACCCAACGATGGAACGTGGTAGGCGTTCGCGGCATTTTGGAATACGATAGTCAAAACTAAATTTTGATCTATTGCTGCGGGGTCTCAATTTATAGTTGTCTGGCGGGTTGTGTGTGACAAGAGCACGAAAATCAAAAACGGGTCTTATTATTGTTGTACCCCTTTCACTGCATAATAACAGGTATATTGTTCTGGGATCATTTGGTCCATCTTGCAATATATCTGTTCTTTCAGTTGATTATGATTGGTCCATCTTGCAATACATCTCAAAATTTGTCACCTGATTAACTCTGGTAACCCCAATTTTATATAATTAGAATTAGGTTATATATAGTCAAACCTCGGAAAACCGATGTGGCTGTCCTCACCATTTTCTATCGGTTTTGCGAGGTATCGGTTTTTGCTTCTTATTGGCTAATGTGAAATCTTTATATGTAGAATTGATAATGTGATCATTGGTTGACCAATGAAATTGCAAGAATCAGGTCACGTAATTTTAATTTGTACTACATTATATCGGTTTAATCTATTATGACTATCGCCAAAAAAAATATCGGTTTATCGGGTTTGCAAGGTCTATATTAATATGTAATATCGGTTTTACGAGGGGTTTATCATATATAAATTGCACGGGAATTGAAAAAAGTATCGGTTTTGCGAGGTATCGGTTTTTAGCGGTATCAGGTTATTTCTGTGTAAAACCTTGCATCCATGATGGCTGTAAAACAGAAACTGGGTTTGCCCTTGGCACAAAACCCACCCCAGGCAAAAACCTTTTGGCAATTTTTAGGAAGTAGCCATATTGGTCTAGGACCTTTATACCAAACTGATATTGTATTTCTAAACAGTTGAAAAGCTGTTTCATCTGAAAATAAGGCCCTTTCCCATTGGTCATTTAAGTGATTTGTGGCCCATGCAACTCGGTTTGCCTTTTGGTCAGCTGTTAGCATTGGTGTGCCATTTGAAAGGCCACTTTTATAACCAAGCTCTCTTAAACGCGCTCCAACCGTTACATGTAATACTTCAACTCCATCCCCAGAAATTTTGGTGGCCAAGGGTCACAAAGACACAGAATTATCTTTATGAATGTATTGCTTAAGTTCATGCAATTTATTGGACTCTATTTTCTTTCAACATCCATTACCTCGTCTATGCATAACATTACCAGTTTTTTTTTTTTAATTTTTGAATATTATACTTAATTGTTGAAAGGGGAATGCCAGTAATTTTGTGGAGTTTTGTTTGAGATTGGACTCCATTATTCCAAAAATGCATAAGTGTTTGGCGTTGAGAATTAAGCTTGTTTTCAGTCATCTTTAACAGACAAAAAAATAAAGTTTAAGGGCTCAAATTGCAAGCCTTATGGTTTGTTTTTGTTTTCAAAAAAAAATATGATGCATTTATTATACTCTATGGAAAGAATGTGCTTTAAGTTTTATGTGTCTAGAGGCCAATTTTTTTCTTAACACACTGTATACTTTATATTAATTATAATATCACCCACTCTTTTACATGCACACCTGTTATTAATACAATCTAACTTGCAGTTACATAGAGTGTTAACATCAGTGGTGGAGCATTGTGAACAGGAAGTGCCTATTGCAATGCCATATTTAAGATGAAATCTATGAAAACATTACAGTATGGCTGAAATTTGATCCATCTCAGATACTGAATGCTGAAATTTGTCAGATTTAGTGCTGGCAGTTTTGGACTACTTCTACCTGTGTTAAGACATAAATATTTGGCAATTACAAACCATTAAACAATTTCTCTGCATCTTCATGATATTTTTTAAGATCCACAACCATTGCATTCCCTACAACCTCTAAGAATCCAATCTCTATCTCACTTGCATTCATGTAAATCTTTAAAATCCTGTCATGGTTTGACCCAAGCATTACCCAAGGAATACATTGTACTTAGGTCTCAATCCTGACAACTGACATCTTTTTCTTGTATATTAGTTTTCTCTTTGCAAGTACTCTCATCTTCACCCTCTTCGTAATCTGAACTTGTCTCTGCTTCTGACATTGAACTTTCACTGTAACATACTGATTTTCTTTTTCTCAGATCCATCCTAGTTGAAGAAGATTCTCCCTCCTAAGGGAAGTCATAAAAAATAAGATAATCATGAATAATAGACATCTTTCAGAGCTGTATAGCTAATCATGATTTAAGGACCTACCTCTTCTTTCTTTTCAATGCATTGCTTTTGGACAATTTTATTGTTCCCACATGTTTTGTATCAGAGACTTACTGGTTATATTTTCAACTGTTCTTCCATTTATTACAGGCCCATTTAAGTTCCCATTAATTGATTGGTGAATGTTAATTAACTCTGCGAGTGCTTCTTCTCCCATCCATTTGATTTTTTATGGCCATGGAAATTAGTAACGATTCTTGACTGACATTTTTTTAATCCCACCAGAACATCAGCCCATCTAGAAAGCCAACTGTGCCCCAGTGGGTCCAGTACTGGATCGGCTAGAAACCTTTTGCATCAGATAACCTAGAAAGTCACCTGTGTGCCAGTACCAGTTTCGTGGCTCGGCTAAAAACTTTGAATGACCAGCAGCCTAGAAAGCCCCCGTTCACGCCACTTTTTCTTTTAAATCTTTCAAATAGCAGTTGTGCTCTTTCGGCCCTTCTCCTTGCTGACAGTTAGCAATGCCTTCAAGACCTTTTATATACCTGTCTACCTTTGTGCTAAACGGTTCTATATCGCACTCGTTTAAAAATCAACAATATTCCAATCCGCGGGATTCTTTTTAAAATATTCGTGAATGTTGATTTGGACATTTTATTGCGGGGTCGGTTAATGTTATGTAAAATGAAGAAGTTGCTGACTATTATCAGAAGGCGTATGACGAGTGACTATCGCGAGGAACTTTTATTCACAACGCGTATGACGAGTGACAAAGTGATGGCGAAAAAAAGTGCGCCATGCGATAATGAGGTGGCCCGATACTAGTTTGGGTAGAGATCGCTCTATGATACCACAATAACAAATTTTGATCTATTACTATTACATCTATTAATATGTCCCTGATAAAGGCTCCCTGCTCTAATAAGGAAATTACTTAGTATTATTAATGAATGAATCGATTTATAATATCGCCGGTTAGATAAATCTGTAGATGGAATGCGCTTGACTGAATACATGATAGTTGCTATACATAATTTGCAAGCTTTTTACATTTTTCATTATTGCATCTTTTACGGGGAGCATCGATAGTTTGGAAAGATAATCTGGAGAAATACATAATTTCGGCAGAAAAGACATTGTCTATTTTCATTGCTTTGGAGTTTTGCGTTCCTTTATTTAGTTGCACCTACGATTGAACGCTAAAGGTGCACTATTTTCATTGCTTTGGTCAAGGACATGGGGGTAGCATTGATGTGATAATTTTTTCTATAGTCTTGCCAGTGAATAGATGCCCCAAGGTAAAGATTGGAATGTCGATATATACTAACACTTCCAGTTCCGAATTTATGCTATAATTATTCAACCTAGATAATTTACGTGGACAGGAGTGATTTAGATTGGCGAAAATTACGTTTGCAATAATATACAATTTGTATAGGAATCTTCTGAGAGAGTAAATAAATAACTCGACGCAGGGACGCCCCCTCCTTCTATGATATTGATTTTCTACATTTTTTTACGCGCCATGCATCAGGTTAAGCCGCAATATTATTAGGTGTGACATTTAACAAAAGAGTATGACGTTATACAATAGTCTTTATCATCGAACTTTTATTATTGTAATCATTTCTATACTATTCCCAAATGATAAACAATTTATAATGATACACTTGGATTCATTTAACATGGAAATCACATTGATTTAGTGAGATAGATCCCATCACTTGATCGCGTAGCAATAGCATAACGATACATACCAAGTCTCAATTATTACAGTCAAGCGCTTAACATTCCCTTCATGGTGTCTCACAATGCGATATTCTTGCAAATGATGTTTCTTTGTTAGTCATATCACTGCTATAAGGCGTACATCAAATGTTACGCGCGATAATGTTCCTCGGTAGTCATGGAAATAGCAACTACCTATGTTAAAAATACATTAATTATGCTGGAAACTGAACGACAATTTCTAATATCTTGTATTATCTGCGTTCTCTGCACTTTCATTAGCCGAGTGATCTAATCCGGTTAATGTAATAAGAGTTTATAACGCCTTCTATCCATTGTTTGCACAGATGAAAAAGTCAATGTACAATAATCCTTTATTAAATTTATCTCGACTATATTATATACTAACAAACGATCTACAAGCAAAGCGTTGACTAAGGCGTAATCAGGCATACCACCTTCCATTAGTCACTGCTTTCTTCCGTCTTGTAGCGATGACTGATCGTTCGATGCCGTAGCACTCAATTGTATCCTGCATGAGATATGAGACAATGAGATTACGTTTTCGACATCACCAACATATTCCAAATGTCACATGATTACTGCTCACCTTCCATGTGTGATAATCCAATTCCATGACTAGTTGATTTTTCGTTAATCCATTCTGGTAATCTTCTTGTGTCGGGGGTTCGCAGATTGCTATAAAACACACGATGGCAACGATGGCATTTAACACCCATTGTATAAGATAAACGCTAGACATTCGCTCTTGCGCGACTTACATAGTATTGGTTCCCCCGTCTCGTCCTCGATACATGCCTTTCCATCCCGTATCAAAAATGCAACATAGAACAAATTTTCAACGGACTGACCATACGACTCGGGGTTTAGTATGAATTCGAACATGTTTATTGGGGTATTTTCTTTAAGAATTTTGTAGATCATGACGACATTACGGGTTGTCTCGTTTTCTTCTCTTATAAGATCTCCTTCTTTAATCTGGAAAAGAAAAAGAATGTAAGACGAAAAATATATACACACACAAACCTCTATTGGGATTAGACCACACTAACCTCTTGCGGTCGCTTCAGATCTTCTTTGCATTTCTCAAGCCGAGCGCGCGGACCAGACGCCTTTCGCTGTTTCTGTTCGACCGACAATGGACCAAGCCTACGAGTACAATCACAATATTCATTATCCAACTTTTGCTCACGTTTTCAAACAACTTTCATCCACATCCATCACTTCTTCTCCCTTAAATTTCAATACCTACATAAAGTCCATAGCCGGTACGCGATCCGTAAACCCCGCCGCTACCTTCCCAAGAGCTTTCCAGTCTAATTTCGGAGTTTCATCTTCGTCGTCAATATGACGACCGCCCATGAAGGTAACAAGTTTCGTAATATAATCATCAGCATCAAATGCGTTACTATCCACTCGCATCAACCGGGCCTTCTGTACTCCGAGGTCGCCCGAAAGAACTAGCAGGCGAGAATCAAGGGTTGCTTCATGCGTTTGCTTGACTAATTGTTGTTAACAGTCAGAGGTGTAAAATTAGTTTAAAGTTGACGCACTTGAATGAGTATATACATTCTTACCTTTTTGATATAACTCGTTTGCCTTCTTAAGAGTCCTCTTAAGTCCGTCAGACTCTGGTCTGAGATATTCCTGGCGATTTTCTGAGAGAAAACAGAAACCGTTGTACTAGTCAGATATTGAACTGGTAAAAGTCAATGTGATGCTTACAAAGAACCAACATTGACTTGTCTACCTCAAAAAACTTGGAGTTTGCAGTTCAATTGTAAAGGGGAGTCTTACTCCACACTCGATCCACTCCAATTTAAACACATTCTCAGGGCATTTCCTCCGAGGTTCGTTTGTATTTCTCACTGACCTTCAGTTTGTAATATTAAATTTCGATAAGCTTTTCTTAACCACCTCTTTTCTTCTTTATCTTGATTGGGGTCAAAGTCTTCATGTTCGATACCGTCTTCTATTTTCGTCGTTGGTACAGCTTCCTCTCCTCCTTCATTGGGAACATCGACGTCCATTGCGTTCTCTTTGTTAGAGTCGTTGGTGGCGCGAGTATGACTAGGTGGCATTTCTTTTATACTTATAAAAGCGTGTATTAAGTCTAGTTCAAACCAGTTATTGTCAAGCCAAAGACAGAAGACTTGTACTATCAAGACTATGTCGCAGCAATAGACGCGTCTGCGTGGGTAGATGAACAAGGTTTGCCTGATTTGTGATTCTCACCGATAAAAACCATCCAATGAGGTGGATGATCGGCGCATTCAAAAATAATTGATCCGTGCTCCGTAATAAGTGATACTCCGAGAAGAGAATTTCGGTTACGCTTTGAAAATTTACTTCAAGCCATGGTAATATAGCTTTTTCGATAGTTTGCAGAGTACAATGGCTTACCCGTCAATGTTATATCAAAGAATATTTACCATGCGCAAGTGCGGACAGACACGCTGTGCAATTGTTTACCCGTTACTGATTCATGGCACTCCGAGATTGTATTCGGTTGATAAGTTGTTGAGAACTCGACAATAACATCACTTGATCTGTTTATACGTTTGATTCAATGTCTACAGTCGTAATCCCGGTTAAAGGACCGTAAAGGCCACTGTAGTTAACAGAGATGCATCTTTAAGTAATGAATTGGTTTCGCTTTCAATCGTCGTCAGCTTTGTCAAGTTTGATGAATTCTGATTATCACATACCTACGAGTTGCTGATCGAGAAGGAGTTGCACTTTTTTCAATGCGTAACATTGTGTGTAGCTTGCCACAAAGTCGTACACTATTAAAAAAGTAGTAACATAAAAAACAAATTAATGAAACTATTCACAAAACAACAACGTCAACGTACTTGGCATTTCATTTTCATATAGCCTTGCATTAGGGATAGTCTAGCTGCAAATTATCGTGGCTTTTGGTCCCAGATACCACATAGCAGTTCGAGGATACTTGCACCCAATGCATTAATTGAGAACCTAATAATAAGCTTATTAAAAACGCGAAAGAAAATATCATTAACCTATCGCTATGTCGGGGTCACATGTCAAGAGGCAAGTTGAATAAATGATCAAGTATAAATACGTATGCTATTGATAATTTCTTGTAAAATGACAAACCATAGAGTTTGCATCATACTAATACCACTTTTTGTTTGGGAATCAGTGATGATTAGAGTTATATTGCAGGTATACAAACACAAACCCAAGATAGATAAATTAGTATTTGAAATAAAACCTTCTGTTTAACACTAAACCTTATCGGGCAAAAACCAAATTCTGATTTGTACGTTCCAGACTTTTTTGTCTACTGCATATTTATTACGTTATGGTGAATTTCCATTAAACAAGTCGCACAAGAAAAGTCTTTGGAACACGACAAGTGGGTATACAATATTAAAAAGTGTTTATGAAAACGCCAAGGGGTGGCCGAGCGGCACATATTTAAAGATCTGACGGTGAGATTTGGTAGATGCTTGTCGTAATTATTATGAACGCTATATGATGCATAATACTAGGCCATTTCCTTGATAAAGGTTATGGCCCATTACTAATGAAACATGGTCCGTGCGCTTATCGCAATCAAGTCTTAAAATTGATATTATTGATATGCTATATGTATTAACACACTTTTCACATAATCTCTAGATAACACGTATTTTGATTATGAACAATTCTTCTCTTCATTAACGCAGACTAGATCTAAACCAGTCATTTAAACCCAATTCCATAAGACATAGTATCCATCGTCATTTCAGTCCGTATAGTCATTCGCGTGTATAAGTGTCGATCATTAAGAAAACCCAGTCCTTCGAGAACATCGAATGGATCGTCAACGCGTTGGATCGTTAGATTCTTTGTAGTATGAGTTGATGAGGTGACAAGGTATGTAATTTTGCGTGTAGAACATGATTAATATGAATGAATGAATAGGCGGGTGCCATTTATTAACAGTTGAGAATGTGTATTATAATGCTCACCAATCATGGTGGATACGCGTATTCTGGTCTTCTCTGTCAACCACAAACAATCACATTTGTCAACGTGTTGATTGTGTTTCGATTCATGTGCTAGAGAACGATTATTGATGCGTTACAATATTCACAGTAAAACTAACAAGAGATATTACTGGTACTAACCACTCTTACTTCTCCAGGGGATATTCGCGTCCACGACATACTTATCATACGCATCCTGGCCTCTTTATTAACAAACTGACAGTGGCGATGGCAAAACGACAATGGTAATGGTAGCTTATCATTGTCACCATAAAATCATACGATATATGATGAAGTTGGATGGTATTTCTGTACCAACTAACAGGCCATCTCAGTAAGCGCGACCTCAACACGGTCTTATTCATTTCTATCGCGGGTGTGAAAGACGAAGTATGAAATTAAGTTGTAATCTTCGTGAGATAGTCACTGCGATCTGATTTAATCAAGACGTTCTTTTATCTAATGATCTTGATTTCATCCTACTGATAAGGAATAAATTAAGCAAAACCATTTCAAATTCTATCAGAAAACTATTGTTGACGCTAGAATATAAATAATTGAATTCTTCATTGTGCTTCACATAATATTCGGGACGGAAATGCAAGTTGCATATTATTATTATATTCAATTTGACACATTCCTACTGTAACTCTCTTACACATGTTATCAAATACATGCCAACTGGCCCATCGCGTCGCAACATTACAAATGCCAACAAAATAGCATGCAAAATAGTCGACCAGTAGATATGTAACAATTCATATGAATCCTGAGAAATTTTATTACGTGTACACGTAAAGAACAACAATATGGCAGTCAAGGTAATTCCCTCTCGTTCTGTTATGAGTTTCAATTTCTTCACCTCCGTCTCTAAAAAAAAGGTCATGTATACAGATAGAATAATTAACTTTCTTTTCTTTACTCGGGCCTGTTTCATAGACGCTAATTCTGATATCCATCTTCAGACAACAAAATATGATTCCGGTTATTGTGGTCGTCTCAACACTGCTAAATTCAGTAGAGGGAGACCTTGCAGTCATCAGGAGAAAAAGTAAAGAAAATTATAACATCTTGATTACTTACTACAATAGTCGTATGTCAAAAAGTGGCCAAGATAAGATTACCATTCCGCTTAATATTGTATAACCGAGTACACGTTTCCGCCCAATTTGTCCCTTCCCTTCAAGTCGACCAATTCAATCACAAACACAAACTCCACCACCCGTCCGCCTGCCTTCTCCACAAGCTCCTTTGCAGCATATGCACTCCCACCCGTTGCAATTAAATCATCTATAATTATTACGTTCTGTCCCCCCTGAATCGCATCAGCCTGAATCTCAAATTCGTCGACACCGTATTCCTTAGTGTATGCCGCAGAGATTATCGAACCGGGTAGTTTACCCTTCTTGCGGATGGGTGCGAATGAGGCGTGTAGACGTAAAGCAAGCAATGGACCGAAAAGGAAGCCGCGGGCATCAAGGCCTAGGGGGGAGTGTCAATAAATGTAGGAAAGTAAGTAAGTGATGAGACCCACTCGCAAAAGGTAAGAACCAACCTCTTTGCATATACAAGTGAGTCTCGATATAACGACACTGCTATATAACGACATTCTGTTATAACGACAGAAATTGTAGAACAAAAAATTTATATTGCTTAGTTGTCGTATAGTTCTCGATATAAGGACATACTCGATAATAGTGACCATTTGGGTTGGAACCGAGCGTGTTGTAATATCGAGACCCACTTGTAATATACTCCATCGAGTTACCTAAAACAACATCGATTTTTTCATTCGTTGTCGATTGAACATGATGGGCAATATGTGTAAGTAACGCCTCTACAGCACTTGGGTCACGGAATATTGGAAATATGTCACGAAATATAATCCCCTAGGAAATTAAGAGTTGGCTTTCATACAAGTTGTATTCATGTCGTGAATAACAATAGTTTTTACAGTTTACCTCTTTGGGAAAGTCTGGTATGGCCCTAAATGGTTCCGTTATTATATTAAGACAGACAGGTTAGATAGTTACCTTGTACAATTGCAATCTTTTAATCGTCCTGCGGTCACCAATTTTATTTATCTCATTATTTAATTATGCTCACCTACTTCACGAAATTTTTTATCTTCTCGACGTCAGCCATAAGTGGGAAAGTTGCAAGATTAGACTAGATGGCGAAGATTGATATTATTAGCCAATGATTAACAATATGGATTCCTGGAAGATGATTGGTAGCATGTAAAGCTTGGTATGCGACAAAACAATATTGTGAGAATTGAGACACTGAAGACAAGAGTCCGATAATGGGACAGATGTTTTGAACAACAGATTTTCAGAACGTCTAACCCACACCCCATTCTAATTCAGGTATTGGATAATCCATCTACCAGTCCAAAATAGAAATAGACGGTAAGCAAAGAAGGTTAGGCTTAAATAATTTATTACGCAACCATCGAGGAAATACATTGAAATAGACTAGGTTATAATAAAACACAGTAAATATACAAAGTCAGAACGTAAAAGTTTTTGAAGCAAGCATAGTCTTATGTATGCTTTATTAACATCCCGTTATGGGCCGCATCAATTTAAAATCTCTTAGATAACCACTTTGTCCAATCCAAACTCTTGCAAAGGCATAATAAGTTGTTTTAAAATAACATCCAGCTCCAGGCACGATAAAAACCGCGGAAGTACCAGGAGAAACTGTAAATGCGAGAGGACTTGGGCTCGTTGTTGATATAATAATCAATGAGTTGGAGGGGTAATAAGTGTATATAGCCATATAGTAAGTATCTACAGTAACGACGGTTTCAACATCGCATACTATTGTCAAGTAAGCTTCCACACCGCCCGTGCTCGATTTTTGAATGTCGCCAAACGTTCCGGTACAACCTCCATACACGGTAGTTGCGTTATATTTGATATTTTTCGAGGGCGGCTTACTTGCAGGAACTGCAGCCACTACCGTACTCAAGGCAAGGATAAAAATGAGAAGAATAATTGATTTTATGCTTGCTTGTTGACTTGATGAAACTTTCATTTTGGCAATAGAATTGGTTTTGTCCGGTTCGAGGGCTCCTTATAAATTTCGAGTTACTAGATCGAATATTCTAAACCGAATTTACCTGCCATGTGCCAGGTCATACAGGCTCAAATATTATCCCTTCATTGGGCATTCTCCTCTATAAATAGAAATGTTATGGACTGTACGACGTGTCAGGTTGTGCGACCTGGCAGGTTCCTTCCTGATTGTAGCCGGACTTCTGCACATCGATTATTAACGCAACCACACTTGCAATGACACAAAGCATTAACAGAGCTGAAAAACTTGACTCAAAAAGAAACATGAATGTTTTGAACAGCAGATTTTCGATAATATGAGATCTTTATTGACAACTACAGAAAACTGCTAAAGCTGTTTTTAGACAGCAGTACATAGACAGAAGAACAGCAGATTTTCAGCCATTCTAATTCAGGCATTGGATAACGATAATCCATCTACCAGCCTAAAATAGAAATAGACAGTAAGCAAAGAAGGTTAGGCTTAAATAATTTATTATGCACATCGACTAGATTATAATAAAATACATAGTAAATATACAAAGTCAGAACGTAAAAGGTTGAAGCAAGTATAGTCTATTAACATCCCGTTATGGGCCGCATCGTTTTAGAATCGCTTAGATAACCACTTTGTCCAATCCAAACTTTTGCATAGGCCTCATAAGTTGATTTAGGATAACATCCATCTCCAGGCACGATAAAAGTCGCGGAAGTACCAGGAGAAACTGTAAATGTGAGAGGACTTGGGCTCTTTGTTGTTATATCAGCCAATGAGATAATGTACCAATAAGTTACTATGGCCATATAGTAAGTATCTACAGTAACGACGGTTTCAACATCGCATACTATTGTCAAGTAAGCTTCCACACCGCCCGTGCTCGATTTTTGAATGTCGCCAAACGTTCCGGTACAACCGGCAGTTGCGTTATGTTTCGAGGGCGGCTTACTTGCAGGAACTGCAGCCACTATTGTACTCAAGGCAAGGATAAGAATAATTGATTTTATGCTTGCTTGTTGATTTGATGAAACTTTCATTTTGGCAATGTCGGGATTGCCGGGGCTCCTTATAAATTCCGATAATCGGCTCACTGTACGACATGTCGGGTTGTGCGACCTGGCAGGTAAATCTGTTATTTACAATTTCTTGAAAGATGGCAGCGAGAGCTACAAGCAACTCCTGCTCTTCTACATGCACATTATTATTAACGCAACCAGACTTGCAATGACACAAAGCATTAACAGAGCTGAAAAACTTGACTCAAAAAAGAAACATGAATGGAACAAACTTTTACTTTCTTAGACTTGAGTGATTCAATATAAGCTTTAGTAAGTTGAAATTATTATGGCGCCCTCACTGACGGAATTTTGACGCAATTTCGATAGCAAGGCCAAATTCATAATAGAATTATCGAGTTCTAAACATTTGGATATTCTGATGTTATCAAGAAAATCAGGTTACGATTTGGCGAAAGTGTACCGTAATTTCACGACATAGCCTTTCCCCTTAAAAAGTATTTAAGACAGAATGGACCTTACTCTTTATACCACTCACGTCCTTCAGAACAATGCCATAATAAAGAGATGCTCCATTTTAACCCCCTTGGTTGCTCAATATGGACATCATCTTTGATATTGGCAGCCCAGTTGTGTTCTTTTGTATATCGCGATTGATTTGGGTATTAGAATTAATATACTTGGTAGAAATACACCTTCCGTTTCTACAATGAGCTAGTTTAATAAAAACGTGACTTCTTTATATGACAGTACATAATCTATTAACTCGGCCACTTGCTATTTAACCTACATAATGTTATTAATATCGAATCCGAACTTTTTGTCAGACTTTGACGTATACGTTTCAAATTCCGAAGCTCCGCGCGAATTTTTGATAGAGGATGTATCAACTCAGTGTGCGTCGAATAGGTGTAATAACCGTGATAAAGATAAACTGGTATAGATAAAGGGATTCGAATCCTGTTGAGTGGCGCCTCCTTTCTTGGTGTAGTATACGTGCTATATTTTAATCTTAGCCGAAGATCTTTTAGTGACCGTTCGTGAGTTTACAGTACTGACGCTTTATCGTTCAGACAGAGAATCTTGCGTGAGCTATCCAGCTAGCGTCGACGGTCATGTGTAAAGAGAAGTATATACCGCAAAGTACGTAGTTTATCTTTAGACAAAGCTATTTGGATGCATTGGTTCATCAGTCTCATTAAATATAATTGCTCTTGTTCCACGATACACTCTTAGAAGAATGCTCAAACGTGGTAATAAATGCTGTATGGGTTTCGATAAAAGTAAGTATTTGTGGACGCTGGGTTAACAACAATACGCATGATAATATTAGCAGATATCCCTACCTCAAACACAATTACCATGCGATCTTGGCCTTCAACGATAATTGCCATATAGAATTTCACCTGCAACATAGTAATACCTTCGTTGATGATGATATCAGCTATGCGAGAATGATCAATAAAGTGTGAGATACATCGACCATCCATATATACAGTCTTCACTTGTACACCAAGATCCCGTACGATGAGAATGCTCTCTATATTAATAAACAGGCGGCAAAGCACAGGAATTAGTTACTGTCAAAAAGGGCAGACAACAAAATTGCAGGATCAACTACTGTGCTCAAATCTAATTTACCTTCCTTCACTATATTGCACTTTCGCCAGATCCAGATCGAAATCATAACCGCACCAATCGCATACTTAACAACAAAGTTATTCTTTTTTCCAACGGAAAAACAGAAAAAGTCCCGTCAATGTTTTCAAACTCGATTTCTCTCACCCAAAATCTTCTCAACTGCTCACCAGTAATGCAATCACGCTTGCTAAAACAAACATACATCCAAGATCAAACCAACCCACTAGTGCGTAATCTGCTGTCATGATATACTCTCGTGCATTGTCGGCCAGCAAATTGCACAAAACGTATACCATTCTGTAACCTAAAATAACGACAGTTTACAAGTATTTGCATTTTTATGATTTCTCCCAACACAGTCATTTGTATCACATCAACGTGTTACAGAATCAGGGAATTATACAAAGTGAGCTCTGAACTCTTAAGCAAAGGAAATAGCATTGATGGAAGCAGACAAGCCCTGTAGATTCTGAAGGAAATGTCAAGAATGTGAAGATATCACCACGAACGCAAGCATTTGGTGAAATATATCACCAAAGTGTTGTGAGATTTTATCAACATTGCCAACAAAGAATGTCGTTCTAATAGAAATGCTTGATCATCCTACCTAAGCTATAACGATCATTACAAATATAATTATAACAGCTCTCGTCTTGATCGTTGAATCATATTATAACAGTAAACAATGAATTTCTTGCTCCATTCTTCAATTTGCTGTGCAATATGAGATTAAACATGTTACCAACAGAATTTCGACTGAGCAAATTCTCTTTTATATCCTTGGTTAGTACCTCATATTTGACGTTTACAAAACTGCATATAGTGTCACCAAACTGATCGTGTGACTATAAGGCGTTTCCATTAAATAGATCACCTTTTGCTATACCTTCCTTCTCTTGACTATATTATTAACCATGGGTGTAGGACTCAGCTGTCTCGGCTTAGGGGCTGCCTCCTGGATAGGCTCAACTATTGTTTCATGTTTCTCTGCCGCTGCTTGCACACTCGCATGCAAGTCTTGTAATTGTAACAATTCCATTGCAACCAGAGTTGGGTTTGCGGTATGTTAGTTGGTTTAATTTCGAAACGAACATAAAGTATATGTCATGACTTACGAGTATTCCTTGCATCCGCGTTCATGCAGATAATATTTTTATTGAACTCTATGGTAATGTAAACTATTCTTCTTCTTCAAAGATTAGTCGTTTTGGATGCTCATATATGTATACATCTTTTTCCATACTGTAGTTAGCATGGTTCATGCTGTCAGATTGGGCGATAAGGCAGTTAGAGAAGATGACATATGACTATCTACATCTGAATTGCCAGGAAGGAACTTGTTATGGAGTGCTTGCGGTAAGCAAACGAAACAGACTCAATTTGATTACTATAAAAAATGTTCTTGAGAATTGATTGGTCTTTCATCTTATGTATAGGTACATCGAATATGTTTTGCTTTGTCATTGTTTCATTTTATACTTGGTTTATTAGTTATCGGGGTTCACAATACGAGAGATAAACGAGCATCCATTCAGAATGGGTAAATAGCCGTCAACTCTGATTCATTCACAGATAGATGCAATTTATTGCCGATTCATTCCTCACGGTTTGTTTATTCATTACAGCTGGTGGGGCCCCAAGATTCTCCTTTGGATAACATTCGTAATAGTGTGCTTTTTTATTCCAAACGAATTTTTCATGTTCTGGGGGAACTATATGGCCATAATCGGAGCCACACTATTTATTCTCTTTGGCTTGGTCCTTCTAGTCGACTGCGCGTACACATGGAACGAGAAATGCTTAGAGAGATGGGACGAATCTGGTGACAACAAATGGAAATATATTTTGATTGGATCCACTCTCACTCTCTACATCGGAGCTCTCATTTTAACCATTCTCATGTACAAATACTTCGCCGGCTCTCAATGTCACATGAATCAATTCTTCATTACGTTCAATTTAATTCTCTGCTGTCTAGTCACCTTTTTGTCTGTCCACCCCACTGTGCAAGAGCAGAACTCTCAATCCGGACTGTCACAATCTTCGATGGTAGTGATTTACTCGACCTATCTCATCGCTAGCGCTGTGGTCAACGAACCAGACGATCATTTTTGTAATCCGTTGATACGCTCTCGTGGCACTCAGACAGCAACAATGATTACGGGTGCACTATTCACATTCCTTGCAATTGCATACTCCACGTCCCGCGCAGCAACACAAGGCAAGGCATTAATTACTAAATCAGATTACCATCCTTTGAATACCGCCACTGCTGTTCCACTTGTTACTAACATCCCCAACGGATCCTCATCCTCCTCGGGGCGTTCCGACGCCTTGTTGGCTGCCGTTGAGAGTGGAGCGATACCGCATTCGGCTCTGGATGATGACGATGACGAGGACGATGTTTATGATGGCAGAGATGATGAGAGGAATGGAGTAGCGTATAGCTATGCATTCTTTCATGTTGTTTTCGCTATCGCAGCTATGTACGTTGCGATGTTATTGACCAACTGGTGAGTGGATTAAAGCATTGCTGTTAGGTTATTCCTTACGCGTTTGTCATTCCTTATCTCATACCCATTTTCTTTTGCGTTCTCCCTCCCACCTCACCTCTCTCATAGGAACACAATAAGCACCTCGAATTCTGATGAATTGGTAATCATAGGGCAGAGTTATACTGCCGTGTGGGTTAAGACAGTTTCTAGTTGGGTTTGTCTGCTGATATTTGCATGGACGCTTGTGGCTCCAGTGGTCTTTCCTGAACGGTTCACGGTAAGATTATTTTACTGTCAACAGTGAGGATAAAAGTAAGCACAATACTAACTGTATCGCTATTTTTAGGAATATCAGTAAATGCACTTTTGCATACCTTTTAATCGACATGTAAATCATAATATTTTATTCGTAAATATTGGAAATAAATTTGTTATTGTTTGTTTGTAAATATGAATGGTGATGTTGACTAGGAAACAGTCATTGGATGAGAAGGATTTAGCTTTCCCTCTTGCTTGATCCGTCTCGCTTGCGATGTTTGTTTGGTCGAGCACAACTTATGCAAAGAGAGAAAGAATGTGCATGTTTGTTCTTCATTTGATATATAAAATGGCTTCAAAACATGTTCATTTCTAGACATAAGCTTTATTTAAACTACACTCTCCTACTCTTTACAATCAATACCTTTTCAATCACCACTCTCTTTACATCTAAGGCATCGAGAGTGAAAAAGGGAAAAAAAAACTAGACAAATCAGTTCCAATAGAAAATAAACTAAACAAAACTATGAATGAAATATAAATATATAACAAGAAGGAAAAGAAAATCGATTACCTTTGCTTAAATAAAAGACTAATGTCTTGGATGAAAGCAGAGACTGAAACTCTTACAGACTAATCAATGGCAACCAATGGATAACCAGAGACGGTATTCAATTCAGTGCTTCAGAGGTGGTGTCGATATGATATTCAATCGAGTTGAATTATAGAAAAAGAAATTCTCGTTCAAAAGTCCGATAATGCTCAAAGAAAAGAATTTTTTTGTAGGGGGAAAATCAGAAGAAATAATACCCTCATGTGTTTCACTCTAAACTCAACCTCACGTTCAAAATTCCCACTTGACGACGTAAAGTATGGGCAGTAATTGTTCCTTTGCCATTCGAGTATTTTGATGGATCAGTCTTCATGAGAAAATCAGCGGAATTAAAGAGAAAAAAAAAAGAGTAGATGAATCACAGGTTGAGGAAAGGATAAAGAGAAAATGAGCAAAATGAAGACGACAATATGCAAACTAAGATGTTGGGTAGACAAGCAGTCCAAGTGAAAATAATCGAGAGAAGACAAGATTAAAGTACAGTATTGAGATTACTCTTGAGTTTACCGGGTAATTCGCTGAACTCATTATCTCTGCACATTGATTCTTGTTCTTTTCTCGAGCGGGCAGGAGAGAGAAACTAAGGGTACTAAACAGAAATATACACGGAGTTACGATGTCTTTACACAATCCCTAATCGGGTAGGAAAAAAAGAAAAGAAAAAGAAAAAAAAATTGTAAACCAGAGACAAATACCCAATCTCAAACAAAGAAAAAAGCAACAACATTTTTTATCAAAATTTCATCCCATTAACAACGGGAAAAGGCACCAGTAACCGAAAATAAATGTTTATCTCTTGCTGAGTCGATTATAGTATATTATTGTTGGTGTTAGTGTTGGTGTTGATGTTGGTGTTGGTAATTATCTTATTTTAAAATATCACTCACGACATTAACTACGACGCCACCAATGTTAGCAAACAGTTCAGAATGATTTCTAGTCGCGATCGAAGATGTGTTTACCCCGTTGTTGAAATTGCGTCATAGGTCTACCACTGCCCACCACTCCGACTAAGAGAATAAAATGTGTTTGGTATGAGAAGAGAATGAGGATGGTGAAAGGAGAGCGGAAATGAAGAATGACAGATTGAATTAGCAAAAAAAAAAAAAAAAAACAAAATTCGTAATAGCATTAGAGTATAAACAGTAGAGAATAATTGATGTTTTGATGTTTCATATCTTACTGGTTAGAATATATCTGATTTCCTCATTCATCGAACTTCTTTCAAAAAAAGAAAGAAAAACCAACAACAATTAAACCAATCTCTCATTCATTCCTACCTTTTCCCTCTGGATTTTCCGGCGTAGCAAAAATACTCTTCTTGTTGATCGGCGGCTGCACTAACCTCTTGGCCTTATTTGTTCTCCTACCCGGCGCCGCTGAAGCAGAATGAGCGAACGCTAACCATTGTTTCTGTTTTACAACCTGCTCGTTAACCTTTTTTTGCCCATCTCCCGATTTCTTCTTTTTATCTCTATCTTTGTCCTTCCTATCGGCTTTCCTGGAATTAGCATTATTTGCGTTACTGTTTACACGCTGTTCTTTCGGTTTGATGTCTTGCACGTTGACAAGCTCGACATTATTGTAACCTTTGAACACGACCGAAAACACTTGATCACCACCACCGATAGCAGTAACTGTGGCTGGATAAAACTGCCCGTCGCCGCTCCACCGTGCTAGACAAGTGTCTCCTACTTGTATGGGTCTTGTGAATACAGGTATGGAACTAGTCGCACTAGTTGGTGTTGTTGGAGAGGAAAGGGATTGGGATTTGGGAGAAGTTGGATTAGATGGGGATTTCTTTGGAGAATTAGGTTCAGCAGCATCAATCAAATCACTTGTGAGGTTGATCAGTTCAGTTAAATCTTGCTTTAGCTTTAGAAGCTCTATGTTTTGGGGATCTGACTGTAGTGCGACATCAACTTTGTCGAGTTGGTTTTGGTATTGGGCTAGTTCGTCGACGTCCATTTTAAATATGATATTCGAAAGGAGGTAAGATGTTTTATTAGTGGGTGTGCAGAACTAAATATATTGCTATGTGCAAACGAGAGAGAATAACGAAGAAGTGGCTGGTAACCCATGTAACCGAATGATATAGTAAGGATCATGAACGCCACATGAAAATTTTGGGCCGCAACAAGTGAAATGCAGGGGTCAAACCATCGGAGGATTTATAGCTGTGGCTCTATTATGACGTGTTATAACAGTTGCTAGTCATGTGGGTATGTATTTAACATTTGAATGCTGCAGTTTTATTATTATGTTAGACAGAAAACGTATCATTATCATAGGAAATTGCAAGTCACAACTTGCTGCTACAGCAACTACCAAGAGTAAGACTGAACAGAACGTTTAGAACTTGAAGTCGAGAACAGTAAGACTGATCAGAAACGTTTAGAACTTGAAGTCGCAGACGATTCTGGATCAAGAACGCGAACGCGAAAAAGGTATGGTTAGCCAGTTGCAGGCCACGATAACTTTTTTCACTAAACCTCATCTTTTTTTAATGTCACCAGGCTCGACGACACGTTCTCAACTTTACCAAAGCACTAAATGCGATCAGCTCACTATTGCGGACTTTTTGAAAGTTGACCAACTTACAAGTCTTCCCGATAAGGTTAGCACATACTTGACCAAATCAAGGTGCAAAATCGGTTCAATGATCTCGTGTAGCTAACATGGAAAGTGCATGCAGTAGACACTCACTCACAACAACCCATATCTCAACGGGCATCAGGCATATTTGATCCAAAATATATCTGATTATGATGGCGCTTTTATTCCAAACTTTTAATCTTAACAATGAATGTGCATAAAAGGTAGGTATCAAGTTACACTGACACGTATCCCAAAGAACACGCGATGTTATAAAAGCGAGCGAACTGCGCGTCGTATTAGTATGCTTACTATTATTACCATGCCAACAACAAGAAGTAGAAGTGGAAAGGGCTCAAGAGATGCCACCGCTGCTGCTACTACCACCACTGCTACTACTACTACCACCGCTGCTACCACTACTACCACCGCTGCTACCACTACCACGAGAGACGCCGCCGCCATCGCTTTCGCCAGGATAGTTTCTGGCCCCGTTGAAGAGGAGGTTAGTATGTAAAAAATAAAAGCTTATTTATAGTGAGTGAAGCACCACCCTTCTCTCTCCGTTGGGACTATGTCGTAGTTAATAGGCTACCTAAGGGATTAAGTTCCCTCTGGGGTGGGTGTGGATTTCGTACCGTAGTGTGCGTTCCCTGATATGTCGTAGCAGTATAGAGTTTATTAACTACCCAAGGGATTAAGTTCCGTAGGCATAAAGGAAATCCTAGTGCCAGTTGCAATTTGCAGCTTATATTTACTGATCAATTCTCTATTACTTAACTTCAATAATATATATTATCTCAGCGAATGTCTAACTTATTCTTCCTTGTATTACAGGGCTGACATATTTGTAATTGTAGAAACTGCAACCATTTCCACCACCACGAGCATCAACATTTCAATTTTAATCTCCTTACTGCCGTGGTGGGAGGAGGTGGTCGGACTACTACGAACAATTGGCTGGATATGTGTGCGTAGTGGCGTTAGTTTTAATAGTGTGGGTATCGTCGTTAAATTTTATTGTGGTGTATGTGTAAATAGAAGCCAAGCAATCAAGTCATTTCTTCGTTGATATTTATATCGTGCAAGCTTTATTAAGATCTGCTCTTTGAACTTTCAGATTCTGATAGCGACGATTTCCATAGCCAATCGGTAGTAATAGTCAAATTCAAATCGTACTTAATATTCTGTGTCAATTTTTTGCACACACATTGTACAGACGTGTAAATTATGTAAGCATGGATTCTTGGTTGTTGGTTTAGTATTAGTGATGATTGATTTCGCAAATCGTACTTGATATTCTGTGTCAATTTTGGTATACACCTCGACAACAGTTATGGTTAACAAACATATAATTTATATGAGCATTGGATTGTTGGTTGTTGAGTTAATGATGATTGACGACGAAAATCGATTTCGCGTCTTCGAAAAATCAAGCCAATCGGTATACCCAAATTGTTAATTTTTTGCACACGCATTGACAATAGTCACGCTAAACATGCATGTAAATTTTATAAGCATACGATCCTTGGTTGCTGATTTAGGTTTTCTAGCGATAAAGATTGAGTTCGCATTTTCGAGAATCAAGCAGATCATTATATGCAAACTCAAAAAATCGTACTTGATATTCCATGTCAATTTTTTGCACACACATCAACAACAGTTACAATTAACATGCATATAAATTTTATAAGTATAGGATTCTTGGTTGCTGATTCAGTGATGCGATTGATTTCGCGTTTTCGAAGAATCAAGCAGATCGTTTACAACATACATATTATATACGCAATATTACGTCCCAATTTCTCAATAAACTGAAGGTAATAATGAGAGAGGTTAGTCAGAAGCACTTTCCTTTACGACTCTTCATGACTAGTAATGCAACTTGTTCCCGCAAGGTACTGCTTACTTGGTAATGTAACATCTTGTGAGAGCACCAAAACTTGCTGTGATCACTATTCCAAATTGGGATGTTGATCCTAATTAGGATGTTTGTTTGTAAACTTCGTCCATATAGGGAAATGCAAAATTTGCATCATGTGAACACAAATATCGACAGAGAACCCTCGTGAATAAAAGTTCGCGATAGATAGTTATACCAGTAATATGCGACGAGACTTGGTTTTTCGTTTTCCAGTTAGCTATGCGTTCACGGACTATCAGTGTTTCGGTCCGGAAACGACCGGCGTATCAAAGGAGGTGTCATCTTGAATGGTTGCGTGGCGATGCTTGCACTCGAGGTGCTTCATTGGCAAAGATGGTTTGGTCAGTACGCGCATTATTCGAATGGTCCGCCCCATTGCTGCACGTAACGACCTGAGTTAGTCTGTGTGGATATTTCTGTCGTGTTTCGATATTTAATCGGTGTCCAAGGTTGACTTGGTCCGTCAGTGGACAGTTGTGTGGCGACGTAGTGCATCGTTGAAAAGATGGTATGATCAGGCGCATTCTTCGAATGGTCCGCTGTTCTGCCACCATGCAACGACACTTCAGTTATGTCTTCAGCATTTTGCTGAGCGCAGTCGTTCGACTATCGATTTCCAAGTCTCATGTAAAACGTACACGCAACCATTTTGAGTTTTTTATTCAACACATCCACAGTATCATACACGTGTAAAAAAATTGAACCCGATGTGGGCAGATAGATGCATAGCGAATAAGAAAACGCTTGAGAGTAGAGAAGCGAATGAGATGTATGATGCTATCAAAGAGGGAGTACGCGGATCCTAGGCCATTAACGCGAGTCCCAGCATCAAGTTATTTCTATATCCAAAGTTCCGCAAAAGAAATAAAACCAGTAAGTTGCAAATGGAAAAAATGTGAAAATTGATAATTGAATCCAGTTCTAAGCATATACGTGTTTTCTCAGCCACATCAGCCATTGGTGGCTCTTGCAGTCAAATGTTCACTTTGTCGCAGCATGCCCCAATTTTTGATTAGGCAGAAGATTCATTTACCTGTTGACTTGGAAGTATGATTTTACATATCAAACTCTAAGTTATTCAAGTAAAATACAGTAGCTATCCGACCTCGGTGTTCTGTTAGCACATTCCGTTCAACCTGATTATTGTAATATAACCGCTTATCATTTTTGCAACATATTAACAAAATAACTCTGGTCAAAAAACATTCTAGCATTTAGTCATTATTTATTTAATTTCTGTTTTAATCTCCTTCAACAAATGAGTTGTAAAACTGGCTTTTTTAATTTGAGATAATCAAATCGATTGAAAAGCAAGCACGACAAATCAAAGAGTGTCATGATTATTAGTGATTGCATTTTTGTCAATATTAAAAATTTAAGACAAAGGAACCCATGAGAGCTACAAGCAACCTCCCTTCACGTTGATCATGTTGCCATTTCTATTCGTGTGATAAACAATCAGCGAACCTCTAATCGTTCAATATTCCTCTCACGTTAATACTATAAGTTTCGACGACGATACATTCGGCAATCTCTGTTCTTTATTTCAGCACGGCAGCTTTATTGTTAGGCTTAGGTTGATGTTCTTACCTATTATATAAAAGAAAGCTGTATCTCAAACATTAATAGATGTTCGGCTAAATTGTTTACCAATATGTACAAAACATTCTAAATGCTTTCATCACCACAACAAATGCGGGAATTCCAAAGGACTTCCTACCGTCACAATGGGAATATCTTTTTTCAAGAACACAAAGAATGTGTTGCACTAGTTATTCATACATGCCCGTTGTTCATTTTGTTAAGTCATCATAATGGAAAATAAATTTATTAATAGTACATCTATTGTGACACCATTAACTCGTGTCATCACATTACTCAAACATCCGACACCAACCACCATACTCATCTTATATGATTTCTCAATCAAAAGACAGCCTCGCGTCTAGCGCGTCGACTACGCACACACCCCGCCCCAACTCCACTAACGGCGCAATCTTATATACAAATTCCACCTCATCAACAACAACACAGCATCTCACTATGGCTGAAGTACAGAATTCCTTACTCGAAAGACACCACCAAACCCTCACTGCCATATTCTTCACAGAAGATATGAAACAACTCGAAGACTTTCTCTCAACACCTGACTTAAATGTAGACCTACCAATGGATGCTCACGGTCATACCGCCCTCCACTGGGCGGCTGCTTTAGGCAGAGTACAGTTACTGGAGCTTTTGTTAAGTCGTGGTGCCGACTTGTGTAAAGTAAACAATGACGGAGAGTCGGCATTAATAAGAGCTGTGTTGGTAACTCATAGTTATGAGTTGCAGACTTTCCCTGCCTTATTGGAAATATTGACCAAGACTATCGGTCTTGCTGACAAGAAAAATAGAACCGTATTCCATCATATTGCTATGACCGCTGCATATAAGAGTCATGCTGCGTCTGCTGAGTATTATATGGAATGTCTAACAAGATGGATAGATGGCCGTTCCGTTAATGGTGGTATTATTCCATCGATAGTTAACGCGCAGGACAAAAATGGAGACACTGCATTGAACATAGCTGCTAAACATGATAATGAGAGGATAGTGCAATTGTTGCTTGAACTAGGTGCAGATAGAATGATTGAAAATAGCGTTGGGGTAAAACCAGAAGATTACGAGACTATTGGGTATATTGACGATCGAGCTGATATAAATAGTCATGTGAACGAGGGAATGGCGAGCGGAAGAGATGAGGTGAGTTTTATTGAACGAGTGCTGAGTAAAGAAAAACTAATGACTTTAGTTGACAAACGTTCATGTTTGACGATTGCTATAGAAGGATACTCAAGCAGTTCTATTTAACAAGTGCATTACAATTTTGTCAACTATGTTGTTCATTTTTAATCTTGTTCTAATCGTTTGATCTTTTGTACTCAGCAAGGGCAAATAGATGGAGCGAACGCGCACTTTAAGCCACGCAAACGAGCACGCGAAGTTGCTTCGTGTAATTTACCATTTTCATATATAATATCTCTATCTTCAGTAAACCGATCAATCCTCATAATTTTAATCTTTATTTGTTCTCATTCTCTCTCACTTCAACAACAGTAATCCACCGTCTGGTTCACGATGTCGAAGAAGAGTTTCGTGAATTAATAAAACAAAAAGAATCAGCACTTAACTCTGCCCGTCAACAGCTACTCGCAAAACAACGTGAGGCATCGGAAGTGGGTTCGAGTATACGCTATTTCCAGACGCAAGAAAGGGAATTAATAGAAGCAGATGAGAAAATTAAGAGTCTCGAACTCGTTTTGAACGAAGAACGTGATACTGAGGAAAAGAGGCGGAAAAGGGCTCGAAGAGAGGAACCACAACCACAACCGCAACAACCACACCAACTGCAACAATCATATCCACAACAACTGCAACCACTGCAGCTACAAACGCATCTACAACCGCAACCGCAATTACAACCGCAACCGCAACCGCAATTACAACCGCAACCGCAACCGCAACCGCAACCGCAATTACAACCGCAACCACAACCGCAATTACAACCGCAACCACAACCGCAATTACAACCGCAATTACAATCGCAATTACAACCGCAACCGCAACCGCAATTACAACCGCAACCGTATCTACAACCGCAACCACATTTACAATCACATACTTACTCTCAGCCACAGCGCCCACAACAGGAACAGCTACCACAGCTGCCTCTGCAACCACAACAACAACTTTTACATCCACAGATGCAACAACCACCAGAACAACAACCGCTGCCACCACATGTACCACCGCCACCACCACAACAACAGCAGCTACAACTGCAACAACTGCAACAATCGCCACCGCCACCACAACAGCAGCAACTACAGCAATCACAAATGCAACAACCGCCACCGCCACCACAGCAACTGCAACCACAGATACAACCACCGCCGTCGCCGCCGCCGCCGCCGCCACAACAACAACAACAACAACAACAACAACAACAACAACAACAACAACAACAACAACAACAACAACAACAACAACAACAGCAACCATCACCGCAACAATCGCAACAATCACAACAGCAAGCGCAACCACAATCGCAACCACAACCGCAACCGCAACCGCAACCGCAACCGCAACCGCAACCATCACCACAACAACAGCAGCAGCAGCAGCAACAGCAGCAGCAACAGCAGCAACAACCACAAGAGCAACAACAACCACAAGAGCAGCAACAACAACTGCAGGAACAACAACTGCAACAACAACTACTACAACAACAACAACAACTGCAACAACAACAACTACTACTACAGCAGCAGCAGCAACAACAACAACAACTGCAACAACAACAACAACAACAACAACTACAGCAGCAGCAGCAACAGCAACAACAACAACTGCAGCATCAACAACAACTGCAGCATCAACAGCAACCGCAACCGCAACCGCAACCGCAAACGCAACATTATCCGCAACTACAACATCCGCAACCACAACCACAACCTCAACCTCAACCTCAACCGCAACCGCAACCGCAACAACCGCAACTTTCTCATTCACATCTAATGCATATTATTCCGACGTCGACAACGCATTCTGGTATGTGAATTTATCAGTGTCTAATTGCCAACATGCCAAGTTAAATTGATTCAAATCTATACTTTTATATATATCTAGTCGATGATATGCTAGATAAACATATTCACCAACTCCAATCCCAAATAACCGCTCTTACACGAGACTTGAGCCTTCTGCGTAGTGAAATTTCATTTATAGATGCACGCAACGTTGAAATAGAACGAAATGCAATGAGGAAAATTTCTGATGTTGTGAGGGTTGATGAAAGACAATTAGAGGAATTGGTCAAATGTTTGGATGGAAATGGGAATGGTGGGATAAATGGGAGGGATGCTGTTCTCGCAAAGTTGAGACACATATTGCACGAGAGAAAGCAAGAGAAAAGGTAAGTGGTATGTAATTACGAATAAACTTATTGTGTGAAATTATATTATTGTATTGTAAATACATGCCGTTTTTAAGAGTTTCAAGATCACTTAATATTGTTATTATTAATGATAGATAATATTGCCACATAAACATTACTATTTTATTATTAATGCTTGTTGGAGAGGTGTTGCTGTACGTGTCTTTAGATCGCTCACAATATGAAATGTACTAAGAAAAGTTTTTGGACTGGTGTGGACTGTTTCTCTATGAACTCGATAATTTATCTTCTAACAACTTCCTTATAAAGGGTTAAGACAAACTATTTCTATCCACGGATGAGTTGCTACGCGTCTCATCTGCAAATAATATTAGCAATCTGTTGTGGAGTAATAGGACGGGGAGGATCTATCTACCTAATGGCTTCCTGGCCAGAATTGATGACAATGATGATGTCCTTGTTATGCTGATCAACTTGATTGAGGCGAGAAGCAAATTCAACGGGAGCTATACTCGAGACCATGCGGCTGATTGAGAGTGATAACTTCTCTGAGAGCGAATATCTAAATCTCTATATATTGTAAAATGATCGCACCTTGTTGCTCGAGTTTAAGAGATACGGAAGGTTAAAGACGATTTCATATATTTCTTAACAAGTTGATCAGAACAGAAAAAATATTGGCTAGCAAAGAGAGCCCATACAATCTCGATGATGTTCCGTATTTCCTGCTTTGAATCAGAATTGAGATATAAGGGAGGCTAATTATGTTCAGTTTCCGATTCCAAAAATCATTAAAAGAAAACTTATTAATTGACTCAAATATTACAGAATATGGAAATGATCGGCTTAAAATATACCGAAGCCGCAGTTGACTGTGCACAAAACGTGTTATTGTATTTAAGCCCTATTGTGACGAAGCGGGTAGTCTTTGACATTTGGTCAGTTCTACATCTGAATCATAAAAGGCTTCGTTCAGCAATCGTTCTACGCGACGCTCACTAGTATTACATATTGCTAAACCCAAGTGCTATCAACTCAGATCTGCCTTGCGCATCATCATCTTTATTGATCGAAGCTAAGCAAATAACGCTCGTTGTATGAAATTATGAATAAGCAATTCGCACTCGATAGCTACATATATACAAAGTAATTACGTTGGATAAATAGGGTTACATAAAGCATGAAAGGAGAAACCAATTAAAATTTATCGAGATGGAAACATTGAATTAATAGATCATACAAATGTATAAGAAAAACCAATTACCGCAAATAAAAAAAAATATGACGAGCCGACGCAAACAAGTCTAAACAATGCAAATACATATAAACAGCGACGATAAATAAAAAGTAAAAAACGTCAAAAAACGTATACAGCAAAGCGTCTAAACCGACTCGAACAAACAATCTTTCTAATAAATCCACATCCTTGTTGTTATATACGATCAATAGCCACGACCCAAACAACACACCTAATAGCTATTATGCTTATGCCATTCATTCACCATATTTACTACTCTCATGAAGGCAAAATGTCCGGGAGAGGATAATTAGGTCCAAATAGAATATCGTAACTTGGCACTTCATCCGTATTTACTTGCCCACCATGGATGTAAGCCCGGTGACGATGTAGATGTGGTGTCGTGTTGTAACGAGTATCTCCTGGTTCTGGAGTCACCGAGGAGTAATGTGAGTGATAGCATTGTTGATATTTTAGGAGGAGTTCTGAGAGAAAGAAGAAACAACAACAGAGCAGAGTAAGCAGAGTAAGCAGAACAATAGAGCAGGCGCGCAATTAAGTAGCTATGCAAGATAGCAAACGTGTGGTCGATATGTTATGCTGTATACAACATATTTGCTATTATCTCAACCTTATTCCCTTTTCTTGTAGTTCATTCTTACCTTCATTCCATACAAATCCGTCTCCCTTTCCAACAACCGCTACGGCTGGCAAATCAAACTCGTCGGGATTTTCGTAAAAATGTATTTCTTCCTCAACCATGCACCTGCACGGAAACACGAAAGTTCTAGCGAAAGGTCTTCTACCACCAAACAATGGTGTTAATAGAGAACGAGAAATAGGCAGACGTAGGTCTTGTGTAGAGTCAGGGTCTGCAAGAAGTGGGTCTGAATTGGGAGGCGAGATTTCCGAAGTCGAGGTAGAAGAAGAAGAGTCGAGAGGTGCTGTTTCTGAAGAATTGGTTATGGTTGTCGTCGTCGTTGTGGTTGTGGTCGCGGTCGTGGCTGCGGTCGTTGCGGTCGTGGTCATGGTCGTTGCTGTGGTTGCAACAGTGGTTTCAGTGGGTACGGTTGTAGAAGTTGAGGCGGCGGACAGAGAGGTGGTAGGTGTGGATTTTTCGGTGGATTGCTGTACCGTGAATGACATTTTTTGACCTTTCGATTGTCGGATTTTGTGGAGCATGTTTCAAAAATCCAAAGACAAAAACTGGCCGCCACATAACCATTTCAGGGGTTCAAATCTGCTTAACGCCACAGTTATGTCACATACATTCTCAAACGAGATGTAACAAGTTTTCTCTAGGGAATGTACATTTCACATGAATGTTAATGTTAAGAAAATATTCGGTTCGTATAAAATACATTCTTTCTCACAGACCTAAATAATTGCTGTCATAGTCCTTAAGCTTTTAAAAAAATGTTGATTAACGCAAACAGCAAATACATGAATATCGCGAATAGTCAGGGTCTTTGTGACACACAGTGTACAATGCGTAACAAATTGGATAGTTACACGAATGACGTGCCGGTGTGGCTAAATAAACTAAGTGACTAATGAATATTTTTTAGTGACATTTAGCAATTAGACCTATTGCTATGTTATAAGCGAATACCTCTGTTTAATGTTCTCATTTATATCATTTTGTCCTACCAATTTTGCAGTCGATTTGCATTGATTCTGGTGGAGAATCAGTCTCGAAAATTCTAATTCTACTAATGCATTAGCAATATTTTTGTGGTATATCTGGTGTCAGTTTGCTCCCAAAATGTTGATAAGTAGCGTATTTCTCTGACTAAAGTACCCGGTACATCATCAGAGTATATCATCAGGGTACATAATCTTACTATTACAATGAGATTATCTGTTTATAATACCCGGGTATAATGTTGATTTTTTCGAAAACAGTACCCGGGTCTTTTACAAAATCAGATCTTTAGGTCCGTTAACTTAGAAGACTATAAATAATATTATTAAAATAGTGACATCATCTTCACTGTCAGAAAAGTTAGTGATAGATTCTTTATGTGCACCTCTGTCACCTATAAAAGTTGTTAGCTTTTGGTCTCAATGAATTTAAAATGATATCAACATTCATACTGTGGAGGCTAATATTAATTATGGCATATATTCCTCCCTAATTTCAATCGGACGAAGATACCGAACCGGAGCAGCAATAGCACCAAGAGAAACAGTACGATGGTATATACTGAATATAGGATAATTATTAAGCGTTGCCAAAAATAGATAACTAGTCCTGTCGAAAGATATAAAAGTTCAGTGTGTTCGAGTGTTCATGTTTTAATTACTTTCGATTCAGTTTATTGTAAATATTCTAATAAACGAGTAGTCCATTATACATTATTAATGATTTATTCCCTGGTAAATTATCGATATAGTTGTGAAACCGCTAATCCCTATATCGATTAAGAATAATCGCGATTATTCCCGTGGCAAATACGATATTTAATTGTTTATATATCGATGCGCATTATTATAATTGAAAACACCCGTACCCCCACGGTAGAGAATCGCAACTATTATTATCTATGATTAGTGTCACTCATCGACACTGTGAGTCGTAAGTGTAAAAGCCTAGTGTTAAAGGTCACTAACTGTGTTTCTTATTTAACTAAAAGTTTAATTTGCATCATGTTATCAGAACTGTTGTCCACTGTTAGTATTATAGTAGATGGAGGAAAATAACTGAAAGTTCGAATTATTCAGCAAATTAGGTTAATACTTAGTTGTAGAATACTTATACAGTACAGTATCTGCATTACTATTATTTATATTCTAATATATATTAATGACTGCCTTTCAAAAAAGCAAGCCAAAAATTTTTTCATGCATTTATATTTACAGACTTTAGTCATTAAATAACACTTTATGTAAGACGGTTAATTTCATATTCATGCTCATTTCGAGGTTCACCTTCACTTTCATCCTCAATACTCTCAATTCATATTCAACAATATAATAATAAGATTTTTATTGACAACTATGGAAAAATCTTACAGCTGGAACGAAAGGCGACTACTTAGTAAGAAATCTAACAAACCAATGATCGAAGCTCAGAATTAATTGCTAAAAATATGACAATTAGTAGCTCAGAAGTTATAAAAGCAGCGTAGGAGTCAGCTAGTTTCGGTGTGTTTCGTGTGTTTCGTGTGTTTCAGGGGTCCTATAGTTCGAATAATATTATTATTTCCCGATTCCTTATTTTCTTATCAATAAATGAGTATCGCATTTACTCTGATCATAAACTAATTTACGTTTATTCGATATAGTTTTAAACCACTAATCCCTATGTCGGAAAAGGACAATCGATTCTTGTCCTTCGATTATCTGAGTAGCGAAATAAGCTAATTAATTGTTGAGTATAACGCGTTAATAATTAGGTGTATTTTTAAACGGACAGACTGTCGAAAGAATCCATCTTGTAGAAGTGTGGCTATTCAAATTTCGATTGAAGCTTCCTATTGGACAAGTGCTTTTGATAGGCTTGAAAATGAGTGCATCCCAAAACGAATGAAATGAATCTTTTGTGGAACCAAATGAGGGTGGGCAAGGAATTTGTATGAGATATTCTGACCAAAATTGCGAGGAGGCATTGAGTGAGCATACAAAAAATTTGTCCAAAAAACTTGGATTGAGCTGTGACTCAAAGTAACAATTATAATTTGTTGGATGAATTTCAATCAGTTTGATAAATGGCTGTTGAACATAATCCAATAAATTTGTGCGAGATGGAATGAATTTGGGTCCTGTCTTAAGCATGTTGACAGCTGAAAAGTACAAAGAATTATCTATTATTGAAAAGGAGATGGGTTGAGTTTAAGCATGAAGTGAGATGAATATTGACAGCTTCAACATTCAAAGCAGTTACAAAACTAGATTAATAAGAATACCACATAATAAATAAGAGAATTTAAGGGAAATAAAAAGGGAAGGGAAATAAGTTTATAATGTCTATTTTTCTCTATTATGTTCTATTCTATGTTCTCAACCCTGTATACAAATCTAATTGAACCACAATGCATGTCAGATGCTTACAGATTCAATGTCACAAGCAATATAGTACTTCAAGAAAATCTACTATATTTACTCAAAAGTTAAAACTCACCAGTGGATGGACTATCGACAGCAACTATGAGCATTATAATGAAAAAGAAACACTGGTTTAGTAGTATTCTCCTGATAATCCATAATACAAGAAAACATATTACTCTGTCTACTCTACCCTATGTACACACTACTCTATGTACTTAGTTTAGTAGTCCTACAAACTTCGTTGTCACATTGTAGTATTGTTGGTAGCCTGAACATTAATGAAACCCATATATATTGTTGTACGAGCGATGTTGTTGTAGTTGTTATTAAGTATAATCGTATTATTGAGAACGTTGCTGGGATTTCATCGATAATCGTTCGTACAACTGATTAAGCTCTCGACGCTG